TTTATTTCATACTGCGGCCAAATTAATTTTCACAGCAGGATGCGGAGGTTAAAAAATCAGATTGCTTCTCTGCCCGACGACAGGCTAATTAACCTTAGCAGCTTATGTTGTTTCTACGCTACGCTAATCTACAATTTTGTGTTTGTTGTTGCTAAAATATGCGACTCATTCACACACACACAAAAAAAAAACCACTCCACTTAAGTGTGCCTTCGGTCTATAATTTGTTTGTTGATAATGAGATAATGTAACATGGTAGACATTCAGAAATGATAAATATTGTGTTTTTCTATTAGCATTACCATTGTGTGAATTAATGTACATTTTACACTGCCGACAACAAAATGTTATTGTGTAATAATCATTAAACGTGGCATGTACACACCTGGGAACCACATTCAAATCCCACTCTATCTCTCTGACTAAATATAGATCTATTAATGGGTGAATTTTGCCACAACGCTTTAGACAAAGCCTTTTTACCTACAATAATCATGAATCTTAATTATTATATTTACAAAAAATATTTAATTAGATGGCTTGGGGAGCATGTACTGCAGAAAAAAAAGTGTTATTTGAATTGCTTGATATTGTGTACCTACATGTATAAGCCTCATAAAACTATATATTTTAATAACAGTGCATACAGTAATCAATCTGCTCCCTTTAGTCATTTATCAAAAAGAGTTGTTCACAGAAGACACATTTATTAAATATTATGTCCTCTAAAAGCAAAACACAATCATAGGGCTATGTGTCTGATATTGTCAAGCCCCTGAAAAAGAAGAGCTAGCTGTCATATGTTGTACTCTAGTAAATATTTCACAGGGTACATTTGTTTTTGAAAGTCAATTTCTCTACGCACATACCTTAAAGACATGACTACAAAAAAGCTTTTCAACAAGTCCACTGTTATTGTGCAGGAAAAAGAGAATGACGATGAACACAAGCTGACCTTTTGGCATGTCGTTACACTATATGGGGCAAGTTGTCACAATGGTACCTTCCATTAACTGCCATTTACAGGGCAAATTTAAGCAATATACCAATTGCAGGCAGTAAGTCAGTGAGTCAGTAAATAAATAAATAAACTATAGCTTTGTCAAAAAAAAATAAATAGTTAATTCGTTAAAATTTATACACATATCACAACTTCTTCTTTTTCTTATTCTTTCAATAATACCACAAACATTTAAATGGTAATGTATAACAGTTTCTAGAAAAATATTAAGCAGCAAAAACTGTTTTCAGCATTGATAATAATGTTTCTTGAGCACCAAATCAGTATATTAGATTGGAGAAATGGCTGCTGACAATTCAGGTTTGCCATATTTAAAATATATTAAAATGGATCAATCCACTGCTATAGAAAAAAAAGGACTTTTGAGTCAAAAATAGTTCCTGACTTATAGCACATTTGACAACTTCCCTGTGAGATATCTAGCCCTGAGTCTCCTCTATTAACATTCATATGTACGACTCTTACAAATTCTCCATGCAGTCCACAGCATCATATCCACCACATCATCGAGTTTTACTCCAGGAACCTTAGAACTCCTGAAGCATAACATAGTAAAGATCAGAGAGCAACAGACCTCTTAAGCTCAGCAGACATATGTGCACCCAGCTAACAGGGAACGTTACCAGAACATTCACTAACGTTCTTTAAAAGTTGTGTAAATGTTAGTACAAAACGTTATTAAAATAATGTTTTTAGAACATTCTTATAACGTTGTTCATGTTCTTGTAACGTTGATAGAAAACGTTCTTAGAACAACGTTCTTGGAACGTCTTTAGAATGTGATTTGTACTTAATGAATGTTCTTATAAAGTTGATAGAAAACGTTCTTAGAACAACATTCTTGGAACGTCTTTAGAATGTGATTTGTACTTGATGAATGTTCTTATAATGTTGATAGAAAACGTTCTTATCACAATGTTCTTGGAACGTCTTTAGGACGTTATTTGTACTTGATGAATCTTCTTATAATGTTGATAGAAAACGTTTTTAGCACAACGTTCTTGGAATGTCTTTAGAACGTGATTTGTACTTGATGAATGTTCTTATAATGTTGATAGAAAACGTTCTTAGCACAACGTTCTTGGAACGTCTTTAGGACGCTATTTGTACTTAATGAACGTTCTCATAATGTTGAGAGAAAACTGTTTTAGAACAACATTCTTAGAACGTTCTTGTAATGTTATTAATATAATTTCTAAATTAATAATTAATTGCTAAATGTTATTATGGTCTTATCCTAAAACATTCTGATAACAGTATTCATGTCCTTATAATTGCAGGCCTCTTTATGAACGTTATCATAATGTTTGGAGAAACATCTTTAAAAAAAAAAATTCTTATAGGCTATAAAGCATATGAATAGAACAGAATATGATATGATATGATAGAAAAATAAAATGTATTTAAATATGAAACTACAACCTCGAGTAGGTGGTGGCAAATCACCTGAATGAGTCACTGAATCTTTTATAATTATATAATTTATCATTATTAATTATAGCCTATATATCTTTTATAATTTATTGAAGTCACTTGGCCTAAGTGAATGTTATACACTGTAAAACAGTGACATTTGCTAAATGAAATAAGTTAATTTAACTCAAAAATTTTAAAAAGTTATTTAAACTCAATATACATTTGTGATTTGAACTCAAAATCTAATTAGGTTAAGCAGAACTCAATCTAAATAAGTTACTATAAATTAATTTAATCTACCATACAGTCTATGATTTTTACGTCTAAATGGCTGACCACAAAATATTTAAAAGAAAAATGAGCTTAATTCATGATTTCTAACATTGTTTTTCGAGAAGTCACGTTTGTATAACATAGGGCTATACACTGTAAACCCCAATGTTGTCATTAATAAATAAATCAAGTTATCATAACTTAACATTACTTAAAATGCCAAGTTTTGGTGTCAAAAATTAAACAGGTATGTTTAATTAACTCATTTGGGAGCAAAAATCTTTCGAATTAAGATTTTAAGTGTAATGAACTCAAAATTTCAATTTATTTAAATTATGCTCTGTCTCTGTTTAATATGATTGGTCGTGCTTGAAATTCTGCCTTGACAAACGTGCTGATTGGTCGATATAACACAAGGCGGTAAGTTTTGGTCGTTGTGAATTTGCTGAAGCAGCGGTCCAGACTGATGAAAATCAAGCGTCAAATTGGTAAGTAGAGAATAAAACGCATATATACACTTTTCTTAATTACCTTACAAGTTTTATTGTAATGTTATTTGAAAGGTATAATAGCAAATTTCCCGTTTGTCTCCTGCAGCGGCACTAGCAGACAGGCGGTCGTCGTGAGGCAGGCGGGAAGACAGCCTTGTTATAAAGACTCATTGAAGTATGCTGGTAGGTTAAAGGGATAGTTCACCTAAAAATGAAAATTTGCTGTTAATTTACTCACTATACTTCATAAGACCTCAATGTATCGTCAGGAGCCACAACATTAAATTAGTTTTTCCTGTGTATGTTTTTTTGACTTTCATAGTGCCAGTAGCCTTTGACCTGCATTATATGAATCACCAAGGACCACAGTTTCAGCTAAAAATCTTCTTTAGTGTTGAACTGAAGAAGAAAAGTCACCTACATTTGGATGGCTTGAGGGTGAGTAAATTAACAGCAAATTGTCATTTTTGAGTGAAATATCCCTTTATTTTGCACCTTTTGAAATGTATGCGAGTTTGGATGCATGTGAATCAATTTTAATTTGTTGATGTTTATTCATCTTCTCTAGATGTTCGATGATCGCAGCCATGATCCTTGATGTGTTCAATGTATTCTACTTTCCCTGGGGCAGAAAGACCTGCAGCCTAAAATAGTCTTTGGCAAACCTATTTGGTAAAAATGTAAAAACATTTTTTTTTTTTTTGGACACTTTGAATAGCTACTACCATTCACAAATACTGTGCAAATTTCTATGCTCCATGCAGATTCACATTTTGTTGACTGTTAAAGTGTTTCTGTTGAAAATGTGACTTAACAATATGAGCTTACTCTTATATAAAAGCATTGTTTCTGTTAAATGCATTAATGTAGGTGACAAACATGTCTGTTGTTGTTCAGTGTGCTTTTAATTGTTCTGATACTCCAAGTATTGTAATTGTATTTTTTTTTTTTGATTGAATGTTATTATGCAGTTAAGTCAGTATACATCATCGAAATTCATCAATGTTGCATAACCAA